CGCGTATGCACGCGCATTGGCAAGACTGATGCACGTGGCATTTTGAATGTTTTTAGACTCGAAACAGAAAAGACCCACTGTGCACATGTGACTGTGACTGTTTTCCTTTTTAGACAGCATAATCATTGGTGAATGAATGGAGAATGGAGGAAAGAAAATCTGATTGACCTGGCCAATGCCACCAAGGCCAAGGGTCGACGATAGATATGCGTTCTGTACACTTTCTGAGCTTACTGAGCCTAGCATTTGCTGGTCTAGCAGGACTGTTGCCGTTCAGGATTTTTGGCTTGAACATCGACACTGCCGCATGGCTTCTCCCAGTGCAGGTACTCGTTGCAGGGCTGGTGCAATTCGCGATTTCCTTCAACAGCCAGGTAAATGCTAGTAATGGTTTATGTATAGAATATAGAGTCCCGAGTGTTTACGGGAAATAAAAACCCGAGGCAAAAAAAATTATAGCATATTAAAAACCCTCCAGTCATTTTCCTAAAAAGTGGTTTTTTATAGCACCAGGTTTTTTTACAGCACCAGGTTTTTTATAGCACCAGGTTTTTTTATATGATATGAGTGATTACCAGAAATATTACCTGCTTTTTAGAACACGCAAATGACTGGAGGTTTTTTATACTATAATTTAAAACTTTATATCCCGTTTTAACTCTCTCAAACTAGCGAGCAGTTCATGGTATAATACTATTACTTTTTACGGTGTATGCATAAGAAAGGAGCAGCACGTATCAATCAAAGAGCCCATGGGTGTGCTTTCTTGTCAAAGGACATCAAATACTTGGAGGGCAAGTTGTACAAATGTTGAACTGCGTAACTGGTATATTACTACAGTCGTCCCTCTCTAATCCGGCACCCTTTGCAACAGCGTTTTCTGCTGGATAAACAAGGGTGCTGGATTATCAAATCCTGCCCTCCAACCCGGCCCACATGTTAACATACATGTTTGTGTCGTACGTCAAAACGTAGGGATTTTCTGTGTCAATCCAAGTACTTTGTGGAATGCATGTCTTTAACATACACTTGCCGGGAATATTCTATGCACTAGCATAGGATACTCTCAAGTGTATGTTACATGTACTGTTGTGTATGTTACAATGGTCCCTGACAGTATGCGATTTACAACTGCTGGATTAGAAAATCGAATTATGTACAGTTTGAGTGCTTTGTTGCAGAAAATCGCTGCTGGAGGCGGAATTCAAGTGCCGGATTAAAGCGTAGAAAATGAACTGAAAAAATCCGTTTTGCCAGCAAGTGTGCTGGTTTGCAAGGGTGCTGGATAAACAAGTGCCGGATTAGAGAGGGACGACTGTATTAGGGTTGAGACGGTATTTCTTTATTGCGAAATGAATAGCTTTGATATGGTGGAGGCTGGTTCTTTATGCAATACGCAGTGCCGTGTTTTCTGGAGTATAAGCAGCACTGGAGTATAAGCCACAGCCAGATTTTTCCCAAAATCCAGCAGGCAACGACCCCAGTTTTCACCGTAGAATAAGGAAATTTTGGGGTGAATTACGGTACTGGTGTTTAGAGTGTGGCGTATACTCTGGAAAATACCATTATATCCATTTGCTGGATTCTCAGAATCAGGGCAAGGGTTGCTGGACCTGGGTTACTGGTTCCAATACACTGAGACACAGACGGGGCTCCCTTGCAAAATCCCAGCATTTGGTGTTGGTGGTACATGGTGGCATCATGAAAACAACTCTCGCAGTTTCAAGGACTGTGTACCATGTATCATGCCAGTACACCCGCAAAAAGTGGCGGCTGTGTCCAACTGTACAGGACTGATGTTGACTCTGTTACAGTAAAACCTGTAATGGCGACCACTCGGATATGGCGACCACTCGACCATGGCAATCACTTTTCCTTGTCACGGACGCATTCACATTCGAAACAGCTCGGATAAGGCGACCACTCGCTCAACCGGCCGACGACCACCCACCCGCGACCGCTTTGCACGCATTGCACTGTGCACTGCACCATGCATGGAGGATCTACACATCAGCGCAGAAAGTGTAGAATGTACATGGGGCATGCACAACACTTGACAGGTCTGAGGCCCCCAGGCACATGACTCATGAGTCGTGCATAGTAGCATAGATGTGTACAGTGTGATACACTGATCAAAATGATATGTCCCATCATGTATTGTGAATATAGTCACGTGACCCACTGAACCTGGATAAGAAGACCACCTGGCCAAGGTGACCACTTTTTCTCGTCCCTTGAGTGGTCGCCTTACACAGGTTTCACTGTATACTGTTAAAGCAGAAATATTCGTCTGGATTTTAATTTCGTCTTTTTCGTCCAAGGAACTTTTGGACTTAATTAAGTGCCGGACTAATGTCAATTTGTCCAGCTTTTCTATACACTATTATGATCCATGGACGAAATTTTCAACCGGACGAACTCCCTTTCTTAGGAGTTGGACGAAATTATTGACCGACGAAATATTCTGCCTCTACAGTATGACATACTACTGTAGAGGCAGAATATTATATGTATAGATATTGACATGGGTAGACGCATGCCCACAGTTTTATGATACAGGTACTGGCAAGAGTACACACCCCCCCAGAGTGTGCAACGCCTGATCCAGCTCTGCATAGGGTCTTGGTCGAGGGTAATCGGATCTTTGCGTCATAATACCGTACACATTTGAGGGGAACCCGGGGAGTCGCGGGTACTCTTGGATCAAAAACAACGGTGCCCTGCCTCGGCCTTGCGCTGGTGTGAAGTGTACGCATGACATCAGAAGATCCGACTACGCTCGACCAAGACCCTATGCAGAGCTGGATCAGGCGTTGCACACTCTGGGGGGGGTTATGTACTCTTGATACCGGGAAAATGAAGAGAAGTCTGAAGGCATCAATTTCGCAACGACCTTGCCTGAAATTGCCATCATGGTTTTGAAATGCCCTGTGAGGTTTGGGTCAAAGACATATTTTCAAACTAGGTTACCTGTGCAGGGGGACTAGCTCACATGGTAGAGCGCTCGCTTAGCATGCGAGAGGTACCGGGATCGATACCCGGGTTCTCCAGGCTTTCTTTTTTATTCTTTTTTTTGTGTCCTTCAGAAAGGTTCATGGAACACCTCAAGTCATGTGCACGGTTGATTTGGCAGAGAAAACACAGCTTATGCACGCTGTACCTGATGTGCAGGTGTATGAAACCCCGTAGGCGTGTACATGCCCGGTTGGGTGTTCATTGTGTGCTATACGTATGATTTACTGCACGGGTACAAGGGCAATACCGGCTGATACATGACCAAACGGCGTCAGCCGTGAGGTCATGTATCAAGACGGTTTTGCCCGCGTACGTGTGAATACCGGCAATACCGGCTGATACATGACCGAACGGCGTCAGCCGTGAGGTCATGTATCAAGACTGTATTGCCCGCGTACGAGTGAGTACGAGGCGCAGTAAATCATTTATGGCATGCTTGACTCCAACATTCTAGAAAACGACGTTTGTGGTTTAGAGTAGAGAAGAAGTAGCGACGACCCGGCCATTATAGAATCCAATACACCACTCCACCACATTGCGCTCTTGGATCGGCCAAGAGCGCAATGTGGTGGTGTGGTGTATTGGATTTGTGGTTTAGAATTACTTTATTTCTTTACGACATTGATAATGATGTTGTTTGTGATAGTGCACTTCGTGTAAGAACAGGAATTGAAGAGATGCGTTCCTTGCGTCGTCTCGAGGGCCTTCAATTCTTCTGCCGAGCAGCTGGTTATCAAACTATCGATGTCGAGGCCGTAATCACTTGAAGCAACTGGAGCCGGTGGCTGAAATAGCAGATCAAGGTCGATACCTTGAAGCTCAGGATGGACTGGTTCTGGCTGTGCTGGCTGAGCAGGAACCAAGCTGGTAGATATACTTGTACTGTCCAGAAGTGCAGCGTTGCGGAGCTTGTCCGCCTCTGACGGTCTGTTGTAGCTTGTCAAGCTCTGCTGGCATTTGTGCTTGGACGCGCCCATGATCGTTGAGGCCGACACTCCCTTTCTGCACATCTCGGTGATGGTAGTGGCGCGGACGGAATGGTTGGTCTAAGTAGCTGACAGGGAACACTTGAGGGACAAGTTCCGCATCATATGTCCCAATGCATTCTTGCCCAAAGGCTTTCCGTTGTACCAAGTAGGCGATTGCACAGTTGCATGCTTCTTGATCTGTTGGAAGAGACACGTTTTGCCGTTGTCATTTCGTTGTAATTTGGACACTAGAAGCTTAAAAGCAGACACTTGCGTGGGATGTACTATCCGTCCGTCTGACACCTCGTCAGGGGCGCTGATGCTGCCTTGATCATTCTTGGCTTTGTGTGAAGTGCACAGTTCCGATTGCATTTCCCTACCACGTAGACAGAAGTGCTGTGTAATTACGAACCAGTTCATCTCAGCCAGGGTAATGGGATCTGTTGTGTGGTTTTTTTGTGAAATTCTCTTGCAGGGTGTCTTGGTCGGATGTAGATATAGCTTCCTTGTGTTGAGTTTCTTTCAGCTCGCCTTTGCTTTTCTGCTTCTTGAAAAATGCATGAAGAGCTTGGTTTGCCGATTTGAACTCACTGTCTGTAATACTGTTGATAGGTCGCTTCAAATCAGACAGTTTCCATTGTACAGCAGCACGAAACGAGATGAGGCTGGACTTGCTGTAGGGCTTGTGGGTCAATTTTTGGCGAATCTCGACGTAAGCATGTTTGAGAATTGAGCTCAACTTTTCCGCCGATACACTCGCCAAATCGATGGGGGTGTGCCGTTTTTGGCAGTACTCATCCAGTATGGCAATCCACTTTTTCGTTGTAGCCACGGTGTTCGAGTTTTTGGAGTTGTCGATCAAATCGTCGATTTCTTCGGAAGTCATCTTGGAAAACCTGCCGTCGAACGATTTTTCCACGGCCTCTTTTGGAGTCGAAATCTTCACCGTACTCGAAACAGTTACGTCAGTTGGTGGCACCTGCAGATCCTTCAGGGCATCTTCGAACAAATTCTGGGGGGGGGGGGGGGGGAAGTTGCTTCGCACCTCAGAAGAATTGTGTAGCAAACTGCGATGCGATACCGGTTAAATTATTCCCTGAGCTAGATATTATTTCTGAAGAAAAGTCTTCGAATGAAATGCCTTCCGGGCACAACATGTAGTGAAAATAGCAGTAAACACAATAGGGTCATGTACATAATATATTATAACACCCAACCGGGTCTACGGGATTTGGGGTAGATGTTATCTTTATTGTTACTTCACCATACCGGTAGGTACAGGCATTGCTGCATTCTTGCTGTGGGTCATGAATCGTGCCACATCTCCTATAAGTAGGCTAGGCTCTGTACAATGTGCATAAGGCTTATTGTCACAGACGCGACACTCAAAGCGCTCAAGCACATGTGACTTAACGTCGTGTCGACGAATACCCTTGTTGCAGCTGAAATGGTTATTTCTTTGTTCCAATTACTAGCAACCCGCCGAGGGCAATCTGTCCCAGCTTGAGAATGGCTGCTAGCAAGAGGAAGCATACCCATGCATGAGTGTGTGTGTGTGTGTGTGTGTGTGTGTGTGTGTGTGTGTGTGTGTGTGTGTGTGTGTGTGTGTGTGTGTGTGTGTGTGTGTGTGTGTGTGTGTTCATGTCCTGCATTCCTACTGTGACCGCGGCTCGCTGTCAGCCTATCTGGCCTTCTTTCTGACTGATTTCTTCAGGCTGAGAAGTTTCTGCCTGCGCTGGCCAGTGCTGTCGGAGGCTGGATTGTCGGCGCTGTGATATGGCATGTGGTGTTTGTGCTATTCGGTGCTGCTCTCATAGAGTAAGTCCAGCTGACAGATTGCTTTCTAGTACTAGTAGTGCAATGCTCCCACAGAGGGAGCTGACTATTTTGTTGTGAGTCGAACTTGTGACTATAACTTATCTGCTTTGATTCGTGGTAGAGTTGTCATCTGTCCATGTATGCCTGTACCCTGCAGTCAGTTGAACAAACATGCCGAAGAGTAGTGATAGGAATACCATAGCAGATGTTTGTGTGTGTGTGAGGGGGGGGGGGGGGGCAGCATGCACGTACGCTCTTTTGTGTGCACGTGCATGCATACTGGCAATCATATTGCATAACCACTGAGGAATGACCAGATTTGAACAAAAACATCTTTCAGGGTTCTCACTCCATGATTTCCCCAACACTGCTGACCAGATCAAGGTTGTATTCAGATTGGACTAGTGAAAAGGTCAGTTTAGGGCAGGTACGGCTTGTTTTACCCATACATTCCTGTCTCTACATTGTCTGTTGCAGGAATGCGACGTACACAGCCAGTATCTCAGCACTGGCCTCTTCGCTGACGGCTGTGCCACTCAGCAGTTTGACTGGTTTCAAGGTTTATGAGAGTTTGAGTCTGCTGAGCCGTGATCACTACAGGTCAGTAAGGTCAAGCACATGACGTGTACCAGATGGATTTCACAGCACCATGCTATCTCTCACAGTCATTGCATTGTAGGGTGTTGAACTCTTATCATATCGGCTTTGCTTAGTAGCACCTGTTCAGAATCAGTCTCCTTTTCCAGCGTACAGTACTTGTACCGAATAATATTGAGATTGAGTTGGGAATAGGTGCATGAATTGAACTTAGTGGAACACATCCTCTATGGTGCACTTTGCTTCCACTCATCAAGTTTTAGTAATCTTCCATCTGGCTTGTCAAGCATTCCCGGCTGCTGGCGGGGACTAACTTCTTACTGGCAGTTTGAGATTTGAGCATGGCTGACGTTGCTGCTTGTTTTGTCTGTACACTGCTCTGTGACCACCAGTGTGCGAGAATGGCAGATGCTGTGCCAATGTGCTGGTGTTGCGACCGGTGTGTATGCATCCGCTGTGGTCATCCCGCTGGACTGGGATCGGCAATGGCAGGTAAGCATGAGGTGTCCTCCTATATCTGTTGTTATCTGTTGTGTCAGGCTGCACGGTGGCAATATTCAACAGGACTCAGGCTAGATGCACTCTGCACACTTTGAGCCAAAGTGTTCAAGTAACCTAATCCAGCATTCACAAAACATGTGTGTATCTTGTAGCTTTCCGCAATGATCAGAAATCCCATTTTCCCCGTCTAGCAGTTGTAAGGAAATAACTGATTAGTGACAAGGTACTTGCGCTGACCCCGTGTTGTACAGCTGTTTTCACCCTGCCTCTTTTCATTTCCCCTCCTGTCTTTCTCCCTTCAAATATGTTGGCATGTGTATTTGTTTGTGTATGTGGGTATTTGTAATTTTGTACTCACACATGTGTGTGTGTGTGTGTGTTTGTGTGTGTGTGTGTCGGTGTGGGTGCGTGCGTGGGTGTGGGTGCGCACGCGCGTGTGTGTGTGTGTGTGTGTGTGTGTGTGTGGGTGCATGCTTGTGCATGTGCCTCCAGGTCTGGCCATGTCCCTGCATTATCGGAGCGTGGGGTGGCTGTTGTCTGGGTAATATCATAGCTTGCTGTACAGCCCACCGTGTGGACGGGTCAGCACTGGGAAGGAAAACAGCATAGCACACAGTACACACACTCTGATCCTGGCTTGGCAGCTGCAGGACAGCTACCACGGCGTCGTGTGTTTATTCGAAACGGATCCGCTGAGCGTGATCTCGGATATGGATCTTTCAGGGTACCAGCGGACCAAATCACCATGTGCTGTCACATGTACTTATGGTGAGTCACATGATCCTGCTGTATGTCACATGTTCCCACTGTGAGTCTACGGCACACATAGCTCACATGTACACTGTCACCTGCTACCCAAGTTGCCTACATGTACATGCATGCTGCCCTCCACTGTCTCCAGTCCCATCTCATACAAGCTGCGGGCATGCTTTGAGGGATGGGAGTTGCTCTCTTTGGCACGTACTTCCGTGTCTACCTCAGTACTGATGACTGTTATAGCTGCACACAGAGCTGCATATTGCGCCCGTACTCCTGATGAACAGTAGCGGTGAACACCGTGTCAGCTTTCTTTGGTTGGAGCTCACTCTCCGTAATTTCACAGCTGCTGAGCGCTCGTACCACTTGACCTACACTCATTCCGCATATGCATACAATCTTTCTCAAGTTGATCTTGATTGTCAATATTATTAGTAATGCTTACTGCTTGCAGAACACACATAGAAAGGAGGCGAAAGGCTGCGTGGCTGTAACTTCAAGTTTCACGCATTTCAGCGATCAGCAGACAGCGGCATTTGGCAATCACTGCTCTGCACTGCACATTTGTGCATTGAACACACTCTGCTCCAAGCTGCCTCGCCCGGCCTTGTTTGTTATTACTTACTAGTAAATAGTTTATTCATAAGTTTGAGGGGGTTGAAATGGGGATAATTTCCACAAGCTTTCCTAGCCTATCAATCAAATGCTCTATTTTCACGCGGGCGTAATATTCTTACTAGTATGAAAATAATGGTACCTATTTAGTATGTCCAGTTCCATTTCGAACAAACGATGGAATATAATCTTCAATAAAGGACGAGCAAAAAAATGCATGAAGTTCTAGCGGTATACACTGACTCGCACATGTACGAACTCACATGCACATGCACACACACCACACACACTGAAAAAAATTTAATGGTAAAGAAACGAACCGACAAATTGAAAACATAGTCAACGTGCCATTGACGGATTAGCCATCAACAGCGTAAGAATGGTAGTCTATTGGACACCAGGCAGCTGACATGGAGCTATGATGCCATTCATCAGATGGCATGACCTAATTGCTCGCCAGAATTAGACTTGAAACTAGTATCACCTTCGGCCAAACCAGTGGTTGTTCTGGCATTCGCGTCCCCACTCGGTACGACACAGCCAACACCACTCGTAGTTACAGCGACATTTCATGTGCATGCAGCCTCCTGGATGACCAACACATAGCAGTCATAGAGCAGATGCAAACGTCACACGGCATTCAACAGAGACTACAGCCATGTGACACCGTAATTCAGTTCAAGACCTAGAAGTCTATTCCTCATAAACTGCTCTACGAGCTTCTTGTCCAGCGAGTAGTACCGGGCTGGTTTTATATCTGTGGCCAAATGTCATGTGACAGTGTGTAGCTATAGCAACCATGCATTGCGCATAGGGCTGTACGGATGTATCCGCCTATGTCTATGATGCTGAAATTGGACATGGGTGATGGTGGGCCCTGTTGCTGACCAGGGACGGTACTGCACCACCCCTAAGGAGCTGGCTCCGGGCCTGGGTTCAAGTCCAGCTTTTCTTATGAAACACCTACCGTTCTTCTCAATGGCTATATTGCATCTGGGACAGGGCCGGGTAGTGTCCTGGATTATCTGCTGACTCATCGCAGCGTTCTGAGCAGCCTCCTCGGAAATTGAGATTTCCTGTATCGTGTAGACAGGATGAAGAGAAGACACAGGACAGTAGAGATAGCGTGCACGTGCGAGTACATTGTATCCAAGTTGACACATGTATTGTACATGTAAGCCTAGCCTTGTTGTCAAACAAAAAATAATCTAGAGAATACCACTAAAGCGAACGAACGATTATTCTACTATTCCACAAAAAGTGTACTGATGTAGCAAAGACACAACACAAGCGCTCAGACTCGAGTCAGAGTAGAGTCTACCATGGTCTACCACACGTAGTCTAGTCGTTGTCTGCAACACAGTACAACGTTTATACATTCAAGTCGAGAGATCTAGAGTCTCTCTCTCGCGCGATATGCAGCGCGCAAACTTCGTCCACCCGCGAATATTCGAACATTCGACCTAGATTTTATCCTATCGATTATTCGCTGAGGTCCAAGAGATCGAGGAAATTCGAATAATCGATTATTCGTTACATCACTACAAAATAACCATGACTGTATTGTACATGTATGCTGATTGTCCGTGTGACCTAGTTTGTCCCAGTCTTACGAGTAAGGGTTTGTTCGTCTCATCTGGGCTTTACGCTTTTGTTCTCTTTTATAGCGGGCCGTAACGGCATAGCGCTCATTTGGGGAGGGCGTGTGGATAGGTTTTTAACTTAAAGAGTGCAATATGGTGAGACAGAGTGAGTTGTATTCCCTGCTGACCAACACCTATTGATAACAGTGACGGAAAGGCTAAAGCACATGCAGCGGTTACACCAACGAATGGCACTCACGCTGCGCTGTATGGCCTCCGCCGTTGGCTGGAATCGGACTCTCCTATCGCACTGGCCCTGGTGAAACGCTCCCTTGCAAGTCTTGCAGAATACATGCTAGCAGAACAGTAGAGGTGATCATGAGATGCAGATCAGTTTAGGTGCGAACAGCGTCTATTGAAAATCTACAGTACACTGCACACTCCAGCAGCTTCCACAACACCACCAGTCTGAAAACGATCACAAAGAAATCACTGGGTACCTAAAGCCTACATGTATAGTAACACTTGGTGATGGTACCACGAATCTGGTTAAATGTATAACTTGTAACCATCCTTTCACAGAAACTGCAACAGTGAAACCGGGCACTGATTATCACCGCTCCATCGACCGCTTCACCATGCATAGACGCTCGCACATACAAAGTGGACTATGACCGGCGAAGGCATTTTCTTGTCCCAGGGTAGATTTGCAACCTGCAACTAGCGGCCCTGCTGTAGGAAACGAATGCTGCGTTCGCAGCCCCTCCTTTGATGTTTGCATGATTTTAAGCCACGGCATGCCAACAAGGGCCACTCCAATGAAAATTGTTGAGGTCAATGGGTTGGGTGCTTGGCATGTTGATATGAATAAATTTCTTCATAACAGACCCAGTTGTGCCGTACCTTGTTGCCCATTCTGCGTGCACAATACTGATAAAGCAATAACGAAGACCACCATACTGGTAGTGAGGGGTACACCATCCCATACCAATCACTACCTCCTCCTTACTCTGCAATATGGACACTGAATGCGTCGCGAATGATTGCCTTCCAGTTCAATAGGGTTGCCACATCGTGGATGGGGGCATGACACACCGCCGTTCTTCAGGACGAAATCCTCCATGGCGAACTTCTGATAACGCTCGTACTGCAAACAGTGAAAAGAGAGAAAAAAATACACCGACTAAAACTAAAAGTAATGATGATGTTTGTGTCCATCACAGTACTGTAATACCCTCCTTCAAGCAACGTAGCTGTACCCCCCCCCCCCCCCTCTCCTTCAAGCAACGTAGCTGTACCCCCCCCCCCCCCCTCTCCTTCAAGCAACGTAGCTGTACCCCCCCCCCCCTCTCCTTCAAGCAACGTAGCTGTACCCCCCCCCCCCTCTCCTTCAAGCAATGTAGCTGTACCCCCCCCCCCCCCCCTCTCCTTCAAGCAATGTAGCTGTACCCCCCCCCCCCCCTCTCCTTCAAGCAACGTAGCTGTACCCCCCCCCCCCTCTCCTTCAAGCAACGTAGCTGTACCCCCCCCCCTCTCCTTCAAGCAATGTAGCTGTACCCCCCCCCCCCTCTCCTTCAAGCAACGTAGCTGTACCCCCCCCCCCCCCTCTCCTTCAAGCAATGTAGCTGTACCCCCCCCCCCTCCTTCAAGCAACGTAGCTGTACCCCCCCCCCCCTCTCCTTCAAGCAACGTAGCTGTACCCCCCCCCCCCCTCTCCTTCAAGCAACGTAGCTGTACCCCCCCCCCCTCCTTCAAGCAACGTAGCTGTACCCCCCCCCCTCTCCTTCAAGCAACGTAGCTGTACCCCCCCCCCTCCTTCAAGCAACGTAGCTGTACCCCCCCCCCCTCTCCTTCAAGCAACGTAGCTGTACCCCCCCCCCCTCTCCTTCAAGCAATGTAGCTGTACCCCCCCCCCTCCTTCAAGCAACGTAGCTGTACCCCCCCCCCCCTCTCCTTCAAGCAACGTAGCTGTACCCCCCCCCCCCCTCTCCTTCAAGCAACGTAGCTGTACCCCCCCCCCCCCTCCTTCAAGCAACGTAGCTGTACCCCCCCCCCCCCTCTCCTTCAAGCAACGTAGCTGTACCCCCCCCCCCCTCTCCTTCAAGCAATGTAGCTGTACCCCCCCCCCCCCCTCCTTCAAGCAACGTAGCTGTACCCCCCCCCCCCTCTCCTTCAAGCAACGTAGCTGTACCCCCCCCCCCCCTCTCCTTCAAGCAACGTAGCTGTACCCCCCCCCCTCCTTCAAGCAACGTAGCTGTACCCCCCCCCCTCTCCTTCAAGCAACGTAGCTGTACCCCCCCCCCCCTCTCCTTCAAGCAACGTAGCTGTACCCCCCCCCTCTCCTTCAAGCAACGTAGCTGTACCCCCCCCCCCCTCCTTCAAGCAACGTAGCTGTACCCCCCCCCCCCCTCTCCTTCAAGCAACGTAGCTGTACCCCCCCCCCCCTCCTTCAAGCAACGTAGCTGTACCCCCCCCCCCCTCTCCTTCAAGCAACGTAGCTGTACCCCCCCCCCCCCTCTCCTTCAAGCAATGTAGCTGTACCCCCCCCCTCCTTCAAGCAACGTAGCTGTACCCCCCCCCCCCCTCTCCTTCAAGCAACGTAGCTGTACCCCCCCCCCCCCTCTCCTTCAAGCAACGTAGCTGTACCCCCCCCCCCCTCCTTCAAGCAACGTAGCTGTACCCCCCCCCCTCTCCTTCAAGCAACGTAGCTGTACCCCCCCCCCCCCCTCTCCTTCAAGCAATGTAGCTGTACCCCCCCCCCCCTCTCCTTCAAGCAACGTAGCTGTACCCCCCCCCCCCTCTCCTTTAAGCAACGTAGCTGTACCCCCCCCTCTCCTTCAAGCAACGTAGCTGTACCCCCCCCCCCTCCTTCAAGCAACGTAGCTGTACCCCCCCCCCCCCCTCTCCTTCAAGCAACGTAGCTGTACCCCCCCCCCCCTCCTTCAAGCAACGTAGCTGTACCCCCCCCCCCCCTCTCCTTCAAGCAACGTAGCTGTACCCCCCCCCCCTCTCCTTCAAGCAATGTAGCTGTACCCCCCCCCCCCCCTCCTTCAAGCAACGTAGCTGTACCCCCCCCCCTCTCCTTCAAGCAACGTAGCTGTACCCCCCCCCCCCCCTCTCCTTCAAGCAACGTAGCTGTACCCCCCCCCCCCCTCCTTCAAGCAACGTAGCTGTACCCCCCCCCCCCCCTCTCCTTCAAGCAACGTAGCTGTACCCCCCCCCCCCCTCTCCTTCAAGCAATGTAGCTGTACCCCCCCCCTCCTTCAAGCAACGTAGCTGTACCCCCCCCCCCTCTCCTTCAAGCAACGTAGCTGTACCCCCCCCCCCCCCCTCTCCTTCAAGCAACGTAGCTGTACCCCCCCCCCCCTCCTTCAAGCAACGTAGCTGTACCCCCCCCCCCCCCCTCTCCTTCAAGCAACGTAGCTGTACCCCCCCCCCCCCCTCTCCTTCAAGCAACGTAGCTGTACCCCCCCCCCCCCTCTCCTTCAAGCAACGTAGCTGTACCCCCCCCCCCCCTCTCCTTCAAGCAACGTAGCTGTACCCCCCCCCCCCTCTCCTTCAAGCAACGTAGCTGTACCCCCCCCCCTCTCCTTCAAGCAATGTAGCTGTACCCCCCCCCCCTCCTTCAAGCAATGTAGCTGTACCCCCCCCCCTCCTTCAAGCAACGTAGCTGTACCCCCCCCCCTCTCCTTCAAGCAACGTAGCTGTACCCCCCCCCTCCCCTTCAAGCAATGTAGCTGTACCCCCCCCCCTCCTTCAAGCAATGTAGCTGTACCCCCCCCCCCCTCTCTCCTTCAAGCAATGTAGCTGTACCCCCCCCCCCCCCTCTCCTTCAAGCAATGTAGCTGTACCCCCCCCCCCCCTCCTTCAAGCAATGTAGCTGTACCCCCCCCCCCCCCTCCCCTTCAAGCAATGTAGCTGTACCCCCCCCCCCCCCCCCCTCCTTCAAGCAATGTAGCTTTTTGGCAAGTATACAGCCATGTGTTTCAACCAGGGAGTAGTATTTTACTACTGCCTGGTTTCAACCATGCACCATGTGGTACTAGTCTAGCACTGGATGAACGCCTTCCAATTCATAGGTCGATGTGCCCTATACTGTCATAGTCTGCTAGAATCGTGGAGAATCCCCTGGGTTTACCTGCTTACAGTTCGAGAATAAGGGACACGTAGCACACACACACACATGCATACATACATGCACACCTAGTAGGCTACTTTGAAGTACATTGTATGCCATGTTGTTTTCACAGCATCATGTAGACTTCTCTCTTCCTGCCTGGATTTCCCCGCATGTGCGCATTGCACAGCTGACTTGCTGGATTATTTGCAGAGCTAGACAGCTGCTGACTCACCTGCTCCTCTCCCAGAAGGTGGAAATGATGTATCTCATCGATGAATGAGTCGTCGCAGCCAGGCGCTATGTTGCCATATGTACAACAAGAAAGCACATGAGCATGTTCATGAATAATTTATGATTTACCTTGAATCGTGCAAGAACACTTGGCCATCATCAGATTTCAAAAAAAGCAGTACTACAGTAAAAAATAATGTCACCTCTAGGTTCTAGCACTAGTACTAGTACCTGGAAACAAATAACCGCGTATCACAGTCTCAATAGTTCCCCAGTTGGCATATAGTACAAGCTCTTCTCAAAGTGGCATGCTGCTGCTGGAAGTACATGCTAGCCGTCCAGACTATGCAGTCACATTATACTTCAAAGCAGATAACTTTGGCGGTGGTGAAATTTTTTTTGCTAAAAGGGGAGGGGGACTTTCGCTAAAGTCTAGACTCACCAATCTAAAGTGTGCGTTCTGCAAAGCACTTCTTTTATGACGTGAGAATCTGATCGCCAACATATTTCCTCGCAAATCCGCGCTGGTTTACAAATTGCTAAAGTTTCTACCTGCCAAAACTAGCCATTTTACAATAGTCGGCATGGTGCTCTTTAGCAGTTATGCTAGTGTTTCTGGCAAAGATGCCACTGCGTGCTGTCTGATTCTACGTGCAGCATGCAACACTGACCAGGGCAGCTGATACTGTAGCCACGCGGCCGGTCGACATAAGAGCGGTCGTTGAGCTTGGTGATGCCATACGTGTTGAAACACTCCAAACACATCACATGGTTGTTATCGCACGGGAACACCACAATCACCTTATGCCTGGAGAGAGAGAGAGAGGGGGGGGGGGGGGGCATTGGTCAAGCAGATAAACAAACATTGTTTTCACGGGTGTGTCTTTTTTAAAGGATGTGATCATGGTCATTAATTCATATCCTTGCCGGTAACGTTAGTATGCCACTAGGAAAAACTGCCTGCTGAAAGAGTATCTTAAATAAAATAAAACTTCTCATCACAACCTATGTTTAAAGGGGAAGTTAAGGCAAAAATTTCACCAGTTGTAGTCTTCGGGGTGCTGAGTCGAATGGTCTTGGTCCGAGAAGGGCTGAGACGCTCCCTTCCTACTTGAATCCCAATCGAACTCGCGCACTTCCACCGAAACTGAGTGACTGCGCCCTACTAGATGGGGATTTGTATGCAAAATGTCACTAAAAGCGCCATTTCGTTCTTATAAAAGCACGGATGACCGCGATTGGCCCATATGTTGTAGTCTTTTGGATGCTGAGTCGACTGGTTTTGGTCCGAAAAGGCTGCGATGCAGCGTTCCTCCTTTATTCCCAATCGAACATGGTTGAACAAGCGGTCACGTGCTCCTGCGTACGCCAGTCACCTGGTCACCGTGCCTGCAGGGTACAACTTACTAGCCTGTTTGACCTTTTTTGGGTGCAGTCCTGTCACTCGAGTTGAACTCGAGTTGAACCTTGGTGTGAAAGTTGTCGCCTGCTGGCGTGGTGACCGGCCAGGTGATTTGGGCACCCAGGAGCACGTGACCACTTGTTCAACCATGTTCGATTGGGAATAAAGGAGGAACGCTGCATCGCAGCCTTTTCGGACCAAAACCAGTCGACTCAGCGTCCAAAAGACTACAACATATGGGCCAATCGCGGTCATCCGTGCTTTTATAAGAACGAAACGGCGCTTTTAGTGACATTTTGCATACAAATCCCCATCTAGTAGGGCGCAGTCACCCAGTTTCGGTGGAAGTGCGCGAGTTCGATTGGGATTCAAGTAGGAAGGGAGCGTCTCAGCTTTCTCGGACCAAGACCATTCGACTCAGCACCCCGAAGACTACAACTGGTGAAATTTTAATTTTTGCCTTAACTTCCCCTTTAAGGCTCTACAATATCACCCTGCGTGTTGGTAAGCTCTTAGCTCTGAGTACTCCAAGCTCTCAAAGCACTGCTAGGCTGGCTGATTGAGATCAATGCATCTGGCGACACTAGCGGGATGAGGCAAAGCGAGTTGACGTCAGTTGAACCTTTTCACTGCGACTATCACGACTGGTTTCCCATACTCAACGTGAAGTGTAAACCATGATCCAGGATTGAACTCTTGGAACATTCATTTTTTCTGCATTTTAGCCCAGAGTAACTTGTACACTTTACACAGAATGGATGCAACGTGTCGATGTAGATGTACATGTACAGAATAATTGTTCCAGTGCCAGAAGTAAATGTTGTGCTCACAATGGAAAGCTCCAGCCTGAAGCTTTGAGTTTGTCTCACACAATGCGCCTGGAAGGGAATTTGTGCAGCTTGTTGGCCGCTACCTGTAATTGTGTGCTGACTCTCTTTCAAAGTGCATTCGAGTGGATTTCGACAGCAAGAATGTGCATGCATGCCATGATTCCGGATCAAAGACTAAGTACATGTACTAGTAAGCTCAACGTACTCTGATTCCATGCAGACAATGCAAGGCATGTTGTACGTATTGTACTGAAGCAGGTCGAGGACAATGCAATTTCCGCCATCTTCTCCCTTGTGACGGGAACACTTGAAGTAGAACTCCTGTGCATACGGGCGCCAACATTAGCAAATAAGAATACATGTTAGGTGCGCAAATCCAATGAAAAACTTTCAAGAATGCAATGACAGCGACCGCAGGCTGACCTAATCCTGAATATGTCCAGGTTTCAATTCTTAGTTCAAAGCATGCATGTGTTACCCTAGCACCTTGAACTTGCTAGACCAGCGCTTTGGCCGAGTGGTTGTAGGCTTGCGTGCGAATCGCAAGGTCCCGAGTTCGAGACCCGCGCTGGGAGCAGGGAGCGTATACTGTGCCAACAAATGCGGTGATGCATGCGTGAACCACTATACATGCAAGGAACTGCGCCAACACCCAAGGTCAACTGGGTACTCACTACTCGGAGTGAGGGTAACATGGATTAAGCTAACGAGGTTCGCCCCTTGTCGGCCATTGGTTGTGAGAGTTACCACCTCCCCCTCGCCGTTAGGCGCTGTATCTGCCACCCTGGTATTACAGGCATGGTGGTGGCCTGGCACGAGCGAACATTCCAAAGCTAGTTGTGTTTCTCAACGCAATTGTATAGCCAGTTGTAACGCGGACGTGCGAACTTTACTTACAAGTACTTTACATTGAACTTGCTTTACGCCTGGAATGCCAAGTGGAGTCATTTGACACCTTGGACAACCTTTCTGCACTAAACCATAATTATGCAAGGGTGCCAAGGAAAGTAAGGAAACGTCACAAACTGCATATCTGCATCTAATTTTTTTAAGCGATGGCAACTTGAAACATGTAAATGCTTCTACTTTCTAGGCTTGACGTTCTTGGAACCTCATGCATGCCGGGTGTAACAAGTAAAAAAACAATGTACGTTGATCTGTGGGCATCGACTCACCGCTTCTTCTGCTTTGCATGAATGCTGGCCACAGAGACCTCTGATTCTGCCCTTCACCTTCACATCTTCCCAGCATGATGGGCCCTATTAGAGCAGTGGTATGAGTACACATGTGTACACATGCACGTGAACACCCACACACACACACACACACACAATGTACCACCCACACACATATACACACACACACACATACACACACACACACACACACACACACACACACACACACATACACACACACACTGTACTTGCTCACTGCCAAAATTGGTCACGTGGGTCTCCCCGGGAGAGGAGGAAGGGACTCAAAAGGAATCTGGGAAAGATGACCCAATTGGCTATTGAACAGCCCAACAGCTAACACCCCCTGGAATCCCCAAACTCTGGGTGGACTGAGAAATGATCCCACTTATGGGCTCGCACACGTGCACGCACACACGCACACACACACACGCACACACACACGCACACGCACACACACAAAGTGGTCACTGGTTAACGATTGCACCTTACTTTTCGGAATCAATGCCGGCTTTCGGCGCGTGAGGTGCATATGTGTGTGTGTGTGTGTGTGTGTGTGTGTGTGTGTGTGTGTGTGTTTGTGTGTATTTGTCTGTCAGTCTGTTCATCTGTATCTGATCCAATAATTGATACCTACTCCTCACCCAGTGGATAGAAGTCTATAACAACGGATATTAGGTGTTGTATAATCTACACTCCATCCAGACTTAAAGTTTGGATGTAATATCATGGAAACCTTGATCTTTTCCGCAATATCTTCTTCCAGAACCTTTTGGAGTGACCATGCAATTCTTCACGTCAAATTAGTGATGGGGGAAAGTCAAAAGTCAAAGATAATTTTACGATGCTACATTGTCTGTGATGGATCCAAAGCTCATTCCCGTACTGATTCCCATGTGAAATGCTGAGCCCAAATTCGACCCATATCAGCTTTGGTGAGCTTCAGTCTATTTTTTTCTGAATGAACTGCACTCGGCCGCATGCTACAGTATAGCATACTCGTACCTGGGATAGGAAGAAAGCGTCATCTTTACATGCTGCACAGCGAACTCGTAGCTTTCCCTGTGCGACTCCCTTGCATCTGGGGTCCTTGCAGTATATATAGAACTTTGCCGGGCTTTTCTCTGTGCAGAACACACACGGACAAAGGCGGATGCCCAGCACATGATACCGCACAACATCGAGAGGAATGAGAGTTATTCAATTGTGCTGACGCTACTTGATCTGATGGAATCGTGAAATACACAGTGGCTAGCAGCAGTTTTTAAAGTAGTTGGCATGAGTTGCATTGCTCCTGATCGGTAGACAGGAGCAGCAACAATACTGTCCACTCCCGCAGCTCAACAATTGCCGTGAAACTTCAAACACGTACCTGCTTGGGACGTAACAATCTGTACTTTATGGCCCAGGTACTCTTTATCGGAGGTCCAATGACTGCGAGAGGATAAAAGACTGCTTCGCTTCGCTTCCAATGCAAAGACAAAACAAGGTTATGCCCAGAGCTTTGCTTTGCTGAAGTTCTGCTGCACTTTCACCGGATACACACAAATGTCTGTGTGACTTCGTCACCGGAAACTCATACCCAATCAATATTCAATACCTATGTATGTGAACACAGTACAGTGTGTGCAGGCAGCAGCAGCTAGTCAAACTGTGCTCATACATACCAGGTTTATCTGCAGCCGTTGCCGTGCCGCCATCAACCGCAGTGTTTTCACTCCGGGTCGGGCTCGCAAGGTCGACGTTTGTGAGCGAAGGAGCGCCTGGAGTTGGCGGCAGTAGCGCGTGGATTCCAGAATGATTCGCAATTGCATGCAAGATGCTTTGAGTCTCCACCTCGTAGTCCTGTAACCCCAAACACAGGGAACAGACGCCACTATTCACGGAGAAAGAAGCCAAAATAGCAAGCCATGCACAATGTCACCAACACCCCGCTGTAACATGGGCCAGGGAAAGCATATACAAACTTTTGGTTGAATGTATTCTTTTGTCAAAAATAAGAGTAGAGCCCACACACTCTCTTCCATTATTGCAGTGTTAAAAATAAGAGGAAAAGAAAACGGCAGCCGGAAATAACCTTGCACAGAGAATATTTTTTCGGAATATTGTTATCTTTTTCATGTTTGCCAAAAGAAACTGCGTTCATCCGAAGGATTGCTAATGCTGTCCCTGTCCCTGCATGTACCATATCCCAAATCTGTACCTGACTACTGTACGCTGTATGGATTCCTTTGGCAGGAGTCAAATCCGGTGATACTTTGCAGAATTCGATTGACTCCATGACCCACCAACCAACTACAATGTAGAAACTGCATAGCTACATTTCCAGAATATCCAGGTCTTTCTTACTACACACTGTATGACATTATAGACTGCTTTGGACCACAATATAATAGGCTCTTCCACTGCTTCACGGATCACATATTTGCAGTAGTGTATACTGTGATCCATGAGTCACGTGCACATGCAAGACCATCTGACCGCAAAATCCCCACGACGCAGCTCACCAGATCAAGGTGTGGGCCCTCTTTCTCTCTCTCTCTCTCTCTCTCTCTCTCTCTCTCTCTCTCTCTCTCTCTCCCTCTCCCTCTCCCTCTCCCTCTCCCTCTCCCTCTCCCTCTCCCTCTCCCTCTCCCTCTCTTCACTTAGTGGAGTCGAGTCAAGCGAGCTGCAACTCCCGGTGCCGAAAGGCGGGCTGATGACCCTATATGGCTACTTCCCCTTGTCTAACCCCCAAGACGAAAATGATAGTAGCCGACTGGCCGAAATTAAACAGGAAAGAAAAGAAAAGACCATCTACATACATGTATATCTGGCTGCTAGCTAAGGGGCCGTCCGTAAATACATGCATTTACTTAGAGACGTCTAACAGGCGTTTCCGGCGGGTGGGTTCGCCTGCAAGGCGTTTCTAAAAATTACATTTCGGAGTGCATGCATATCATACCGCGCGTGTACATCATTATGTACATGACTGTACATGTAGCACTGCTACAGCTAGTAGTAGTACAGGCAGGCGTTGAGACGCACTACACTGCACTGCACTGCACACGTCACGGCAGAGTAGACAGGGAGACAGCGACACATACAATGTAACTGTTCGCTATAAAGGGTCAATTTTGTACGGGTTCAAACAGGGACAAGGACGAGGGTTCGCTATATCACGAAATTCGCTATATGCGAGTTTGTTATAAGTGAAGTCGACTGTACTGTATATGTGTGCATAATATACATGTACCGTACTGGCAATATATGTTGCCGCGTAACGCGTAACGCAGGGGGTGCGGCGTAACGCGCGACCAGGCTAGTGCGACAAATTTTCGTTGAGTTCGTAACGCGCGTCCGGCGGGGTGCGGCGATCTTTTCACTCAAAATTATTATTTATTATTATTCTTTGCCTCTCCGCGTTTGCATCAGGGTGTGTTACTACAAAAATCAACAAATCAACATAATACACATCCACCCCTAGCATTCGCTCAGGCCGCTCAACAAGTCAAAAGACAGTAAGGACAAGAGAAAGCGAGGGAAGGGTCACAGAGCAGCGGGGTCGAAGGCAGGAAAAAAGAAACAGGAGGCAAAGGATACTGAAGAAATATATCAGATTGTCCATTGAATTCACCATCACTCAAAATGATGCGGCAAAAGCAAAAAAATGATGCGGCAATAGCAAAAAAGTGATGCGGCAATAGCAAAAAAAGGACTGCGGCAATATAGAAACCTGTGTAACGGCTCCTGTGCGACTTTGCATGTAACGCCCTGCGTGCGGCAAACATGTGCCAATGTAACGCTTCATGGCCTCACTGCGGCAACATATATTGCCAGTACGGTATATGGTGTTTATTATAAGTGGTATTTTCTGCGTTTTTGGGGGCTTTTCTGGGGGTGGGTGCGTGGGTCAAGAAAGAAACGCCTGTTAGACGTCTCTAAGTAAATTTACGGACGGCCCCTAAATCATTGAAAGATGTCAGAAAAAGCATGGTAAATTTTAGTAGAAGTCTTCTGTGCTTTCCTGATTGAAGTGTACATGTGAATGGCTTCATTGCAAAACGCGCTAAACGCCAATCTCATGCATATGGCGTTTTCGGTGTCAATCGAATCAGTAGGGATCACTGCATCTGATGGCCAAAATGAATTCTCCAAAACGAGACATATCCCACTGAAAATCAACGTTGAAGTTGACGTTCTACTGCAAAACGCGATAAACACCACCGATGTTTTCGAGCAAAGTGCGACATATCCTGTCGCGCGGGCCAGTGTGACCTGGCTGTGACAAGCCAGCGAGTGCTGACGCAGCACGTGGCAAACATCGCGACTATAAATTGTAGACTGAGTCTGTGCAAAATGTCGATGTCAGAGTTCAAAGTACATGTACAGTGCTTTCGTGTTGTTGCTTTGTAGCAGCTACATCTACGTTGTCATTTCGTTCTTTTCGTATCATCTCCTTCGTTGCTGTTGTTTTTTCACTTTCGAAACTGCAAAGGGCAGCATGCTAGAGGCGTCAGGGATGGACGACACTGCTGCTGCTGCTGAGCTCCTTCAGAGTTTCGAACTCAGTGAAGTCGTTGCACTTGTATTTTCTAATCTTATACATGTAATACTGATTAGTCCGGCAAATATATCTGGTTTTGCCCAAAAATATTGAAGAATCACCTTGCTTGAGAAAATGGATGGCCCCTGATTTTTGAGAAAGCCTGTATTTGCATACATCACCCTACTCTTCTCATCTGCTAAGCAGGGGCGGATCCAGGGGGGGGGGGGGGTTCGGGGGGTTCGGGGGGTTCGAACGAACCCCCCTGATTTTTTTCGACCATAGACAGTTCGGGCGTGACCACGAACCCATGCCCGTGCGACGTGCTCGCCCCATGCTATGGCCTGCAGGCCAGAGCGGTCCGCTAGCTATGCAGCTTGGTAGATCTATATTATGACATAGTCATTGAACATTGTTGTCTTGTACGTAGCTGTAGATAATACAAAGACTAAAGTAGATCTGCACTGAATATAGATCTACAGCTAAGCGGTCGCTTCGGAGAAAGAGGTGCATGCATTTGTTGAGCTGCTGCGGAAACTTCGAAAGTACTGTAAAAGCAGAAATTTTCGGTGGTGTAATATTTTCGGTATTCTCCAAAATCGGCGGTTCGGTAGAGGGAAATTTTCGGTAAAACCCGTTCTTCAGGTAAGTGTACTAGTACTACATGTATACAGTATCAGTTGTACCGAAATTTTCGGTGCGTTTTATTTTCGGTAAAAATTGTCGGCACCGAAGTTACCGAAAATAAAACACCACCGAAAATTTCTGCTTTTACAGTAAGTATTAGTTTCAAAAACTAAATCCTGAATAGTGGCCGTGCAGTGCTGTAATTGTCGTCACGGCTCGTGCTTTTTGAGCTGTCTTAGAGTTCGTCGAAGCGTCTAAAAGAGGCAGGATCAAGACCAGCTGCCATTGAATTTTGGTGACACTCCAAAGAAAAGTGTAGGCACTAGTGTCGAAGGTAAAACAAAGAGCGAAACTTTGAAAATCACCTTCAAGTTCAACGTCCTATCATCCAATGATCAAAATTTCTCCGAACTGGGGACAATTATGACTGAGACACGAAAAATGCAGGAAGCCTGCCTTATACAGTGGAGTCGACCGGGCGGCTCGGAGTACAAAATTTTGGACAATTAGTACAGACAAGCTGCTGGAATCGGAAAGTACCAATCAGCTATTCTGCAGTAAAGAAATTGAAAATTTCTACCTTGTGCAGCATGTCTTCAATAATGTTTTAGCTGCAGAGTGTTGAAAACAGGGGTGCTGAAGTAACATTTTGTAAAGCAGCTGGCATGTTAAAGTATTATTTGGTGCTGTACCCATAACGTGAACGTGTGAACTTGTTATACAATCATGTACATGATTGTATATGTGTATGTCATCATTTCGTCATTGTGGGTGAGGGTGGGAAAAAATTTGAACCCCCTTGGAAAAATCCTGGATCCGCCCCTGCTAAGTTAGATTTGACCCAAACCCACCCAGTTGTTGATCACAGAAAATTGCTCCTCCTGAAAATTGGTCAAAAAGGATTGATCTCGTTTTGCAATGAAGCCCTTCACGTACAAGTCATGTGCATGTACAAGTCATGTGCATGTACAAGTCATGTGCATGTACAAGTCATGTTAGGGTGTTCAGTCACGTGACATGTGATTTCTTATTCTTTGGATTTTGGCACCAAATTTTTTTTTATTCGAAAGCTCTAGGTTTCAGGAGGATCTTGGTGAAGTTTCAGCGAAAAACAAGCAAAAGTGGCCGCGCAGTGGCCCGTTGAAGTTTTCGCCCATTCACACTATGTACACACATATTTAGTATGCGGCCAGTGGCACACACCAGCATTTCTGCCATCCAAACCCAAAAAACAAAGTTGCTCAGATCACTTAGCTTTTTCGCAGGCATGGCACTAATAACAGAAAAGTAAATGCTGTTAAAGGGGAAGTATACCCTAAAATCAAATTTTCACCAGTTGTAGTCTTCGGGGTGCTGAGTCGAATGGTCTTGGTCCGAGGAAGCTGAGACGCTCCCTTCCTACTTGAATCCCAATCGAACTCGCGCACTTCCACCGAAACTGGGTGACTGCGCCCTACTAGATGGGGATTTGTATGCAAAATATCACTAAAAGCGCCATTTCGTTCTTATAAAAGCACGGATGACCGCGATTGGCCCATATGTTGTAGTCTTTTGAACGCTGAGTCGACTGGTTTTGGTCCGAAAAGGCTGCGATGCAGCGTTCCTCCTTTATTCCCAATCGAACATGGTTGAACAAGCGGTCACGTGCTCCTGGGTGCCAAAATCACCTGGTCACCGCGCCAGCAGGCGACAACTTTCACACCAAGGTTCAACTCGAGTTCAACTCGAGTGACAGGACTGCACCCAAAAAAGGTCAAACAGGCTAGTAAGTTGTACCCTGCAGGCACGGTGACCAGCTGACTGGTGTACGCAGGAGCACGTGACCGCTTGTTCAACCATGTTCGATTGGGAATAAAGGAGGAACGCTGCATCGCAGCCTTTTCGGACCAAAACCAGTCGACTCAGCGTCCAAAAGACTACAACATATGGGCCAATCGCGGTCATCCGTGCTTTTATAAGAACGAAATGGCGCTTTTAGTGATATTTTGCATACAAATCCCCATCTAGTAGGGCGCAGTCACCCAGTTTCGGTGGAAGTGCGCGAGTTCGATTGGGATTCAAGTAGGAAGGGAGCGTCTCAGCTTCCTCGGACCAAGACCATTCGACTCAGCACCCCGAAGACTACAACTGGTGAAAATTTGATTTTAGGGTATACTTCCCCTTTAAGTCAATTTTCCATTTTTGCTACCAACTTTCAAATTTCCCCCTTAGCAACCACCATAGCAACTGTACAAAAGTCAATGTGTTACCTCCCAAAAAACTAAGTTTCTCAGATCACTTAGCTTTTTCGCAGGCATGGCACTAATAACAGAAAAGTAAATGCTGTGAAGTCAATTTTCCATTTTTGCTACCAACTTTCAAATTTCTCCCTTAGCAACCACCATAGCAACCATACAAAATACAATGTGTCAGTGTTGGTTACCTTGAAATGCTGCCCAATTTCGACTGTGCCGAAAGGAAAACACAAAGAAGATCACTGGAATTATGCAGCATTGCATGACAAGACAAAGAGTTCATTGCTGGAGAGACAAACGGGCATGCGCCAGGATATCAAATGCAAACAAAACCACACCCATAACAGACATTACACGCTTTAGCGGATAAGAGAATGCTCAAATTAAATTTGAGAACTTTCAGAGCACATAGAAAAGATTTATAATAGATCAAGCTGAAAAGCTCAGAGAAAGATACATCATGTCCGAATTATGGCTGAACGAGGACTCTTGCAGAGTGAATTCATCGTACAGTTCCGGTTCGCTTTTATACATCATTCATCATCAACAGCGCTCGCCACATCACTGCCAGGTTCGCTGCGCTGGCGAGTCAGCTTCCTCAAGTTGGACGCCAATGTTGCAACTGGGAGAGTACGGCCAGCAGAGCTCATAAAGAACAGCTCCTTGGAAGCTTTCTGCTCCAGAACGAATTTCCGAAACTGGAGTTGTGAGCGCAATGCTGCTCTTTGACCAGTGACAGAGGAAATTGCTGCAAGCTTTTCATCGATGTTCGTCTCCTCTGTCCACAGACCATATGCCTCAATCTCCTTGGTCAACTGTTCTTTTCGTGCAATGGTGGCTTGATGCTTCTTCTCCTTTTCTGCCTGCTTTCTCTTGAGCTCTGCCAAGCGATGCTGTTGGATAGCGACCCGTCTGTCCTTGAACTGCTGACGCGCTGATGGAGCTGTTTGCCTAGCCACTTCAATCAGGTTGGACTGCTCAGCTGGTGAAAGAGACTGAAGCCATGAAGCGGTCTCGTTGTTGTTGAACAGAATCATACCTTCCAGAGCAACAGTGTCAGCATTAGGCTTCTCGCGAAGCAAACGGTCCAATTGTGCGAAGTCACGCTCACTGACAGCATTGGTCTTGCGAACCGAAGCAGTCTCAACAGCTAGGCCCGGTGCACTGTGGTACTTCCCACCCGGTAAGTGGTCCACGAGGAGACGTGCTGAGAATGAAGATAGCGTCGAGCAGAGGTAAGCGAGGATCTCCAACGTGATAGCATCATACTTCTCCGACGGCTCCACGAGAGCTGTGAATACATCGCACAGTGTGGATACCTTTGCATTGGGAAATGGCCGTGCGCTGCCGTCAAGGAGGTCGCTTGCATCTTTCGCCCAGTCGTCAAACTTGCTACTCAATGCAGTGTAGTACTTGCCAACCTCAAGCACAGAAACATCCGGATCTTCCAGCAGACACCAGAGTGGGTTGATCACAAGCTTGGACAAGATACCAAGTGCTCGAGCACCTGCAATCAACTCTGTCTCACCCAGATCTTCTTTAACAGCACGCAAAAGTTGATTGTCTCGTACACTGACGTCAACCAAAAAATGCAGCATTTTGTTGTGGAGATAATAAATACCTGCACCATTGTGGAATACAACGTAAGATCTATTTCCCCTGTACTCATCAAGAGGCAATGGTGTGTTTGTCTCAGACAGGAAAGCATGAAAGTCCGCTACGCACCCCGCTGCTTCATCACCATGCTTTTCAAAGGCTTTAGTGGTACTGTAAATAAGCCGTGCTGTGTTCCCTGTCCCCTGCCATGTCCCAGGAAGTCGCTCAGCACCAACCTTCACACCCTCACCAAAATGAGCCCTTTCCCAAACCTTTAACGCAGCTGTGCAACTATCAGCCAAGCCGACAATGTAATGCATGCCACAATAAAAACAATTTATGCGGCTCATAGACGTGCGTTCCTCCTCACTGAACCCTTCCCACCCGTCAATAATGTCTGGCAATATCTCCTTGCGATAATCTTCCACTAGCTTGTTAAAACTCTTCTGCACAATGCACCTATCGCTCATGGTGTTCTTCATGTTAGCCAGGAGTTTACTGGCAATGTTTGCATGCCCAGCCGTTGCTGCCACATCCTCAATATCGCCCAAGACTTGTTTAAATGTGTCGAACACATGCTGAGCTGTCCCGCTTTTCATTTCGACCATGCCCAAACTAAACACTTTGTCAGGAGTGGCCATTTGATAGCCCTGATAGGAAACACCCTGCTTTGATGTTCCATCACAGTGTCCAGTAGTGAACTGCTCATTTGCCAAAGAGCTTGCAACATGCAATTGTGACACCTGTCTGAGCTCAACCAACATTTGTGAAAGGGTAGCTGCACTAGGGACCTCCGAAATCTCAGCACCTGCCAGGGTCAATACAGAACGGATTACAGGACCCACATTCCAAACACCTACGTTCTTTCCTAGGAGCTCATAACAACATTGGCGGACTTCTGTGGTGTACTTTCCATCGACTTTGGAAGTGATGTGCTGCCGTGCATTGCCTACAGTTCTTTCTAGCTCCAGCTGACAAGACAGGTCCTTGACCAATTCACTGAGCTCCTTCTCCCTCTGCATGCTAACTCCAAGCTCTGCACCTAAATCACTTAGAGATGAGGTGGTGCTAGCTGACTTTGTCTTTGCATAGTTTGTCCTGCAATAAACATTATTTAGCTTGCGCTGAAGGCGCTCAACACTCTCTAAAGCACCACTCAATTCTTCTTCCACCACTTTCCTTTCCTCATCACAAACATGCACCTTTTCTTCAAGATCATTAATTTTCTCATTTCGTCTTCGCAATTTTTTCCCAATGTTACGAACCTTGTCATGTGATGCAGACAACCGGCCCTGCATTTCAACCATTTCAATTTCAATATCTGATCCGACTGCGTCGACATTGCCCACCGTAAAAACCTCGTCTGACATTTTACTACAATTTACATCACTACCTGTGCTGCTACTCCTAGTTTTATTATCTCCACAAACAGCTGCAGTGCTCTCAGATTTTGATTCTGGGACAGAAAATTCTTCACAAATTAGGTGTGACAGAGCTTCATGACGGGAAGCCTTTAGCAACTTAGCTCTTGCTGCTTGGAGACGCCTGACTTTGGAAGTGAGGGCCTTCACGGAGCATGGTACTTCAACATCCATGATCGTTGATAGCCAAGTGTGGATGGCTGACCAGGCTAAGCCCTCATCATTCATGAAATGGGTGAGCTCCAGAACAAGGCCATTCGTCACAGTCGACGTCTGGTCAAACTCCTCACGTTTTGACTTTAGCCTGTCCGAGCGACGACGCGATTCCTTGAATCCTACTGCTGCGGCGTTCAGCAGGAAGCACTTTGACAGACCAGCTTCACGACAGAACTCGCCAGGGCATCCTGATTCGCTTCGATCACTCATCGTTGCATGGCATTGCCTGCATAAAACAAATGGTCAAAAATTTGAATTTTTGAATTTTGTACAGGAATAGATGGCGCAAAAATTGAAGATTCCTTTTGAAATACTGCTCAATACGGCTGAGGTGCACGAAGACAACGATAACCTACCTTGCCAAAATCAAGGACGCGGAAGACGATGGTGCTAGTTTCCAAGTCGTGCAGTGGAGCAAACTGCCAGAAACGCGTCAGCTAAATGCTGCGACAAAACGAAAGCAACGACAACTCTGCGACAGGAAGGAGCACGGAAAAGCTGTTTGAGTCGTCGTGGAGCTGCTGCCGTACTGCAGCAGAAGACAACGACACCATCTTGCTTTGAACAGCGCGTGAGCGAGTTTTCGTGCATGACGTCAACCATGGTCAACCAGTCTTTGTCTGTGTGCCATGAAGCACGTACATTTTGAGTGGGCTTGAAGTGTGGCTGAGAACCCCGCATCAGTCACGTGACTGAACACGCTAGTCATGTGCATGTGGCCGACACAAAATACATGTGATAGACTGTGATTGTGATACTTCAAAAAGCAGTAAACGCAAAGTTTTCAGCGTATTACAACACTACTCACTACTGTACCTACAATGTAGTTGCCGGCGGATCGCTAGCCACACTTGGCAGCGCACCCTCGCGTCAAGTTTAGACAGAAACACTCTGACGCAGCCTCGCAGGTGAGTCGTCGTTGAAACTAATGTGGCAGTGGCACTGAGTCGGTTTCGAACTCGAAATATGAGAATGTATTCGAACTTTGAAGAATCATCAAAATGATCATTTAGAAAAGCGATCCTGTCAGCTTTTCTATTATTGTGTTTGCATTAGAACCGAACTAAACTTCCCAAGTCCTTACCGCTAGCGTGTGGGTGTCTTGTAGTTCCCGTCCGGCAAAGATCAGCCTGATATCCGCCGCTTCAACGCCTTGCGCTTCCGCAACCAGTCTCTTGATATCGCCCACGCTCGACGTGTTTGTTAGAGTGACCGTCAACTGCGCGTGATTGAAGCGAACATAGACGATGGGCGGTCCTCGCTCTGCCTCTGCTGCTGCTGGATCCTGCCCCTGGCCCTGGCCCTCTCCATCAGGACCAGTGCCGCTCATCGTAGGCGTTGGTTGGCACTGAGCTGCAAACTAACAGCGATGGCTCTTCAACTAATTAGGACTTCTGTCGATCCGGACTAGATTCCGATCGCATCCGTCTGATCTCGATCGAGTGCGGGGCTGCTTTCGATCGACGATCCCAACAACCAAGAGTACATAACAAAATGGGGGTTGTGTACTCTTGCAGCAACTCAGCGGCCCAGGACAAGTAAAGCTACTGAATGCCGACCTGGCACAACGACGTGCCTGGGAGTTTGTACTGCAACCGACTTGTAGTCGCAGTATGAGTGTCGCGATGTTGTTTCGACTACAAAAATAAAAAAAGCACAGCCACAGCTAGCTCCGCGTCCGGCCAGGTAGACTCGACCTACACGTAGTAGTAAGCACTAGCGCCTGTGCCAGTGGCGGCGTTGTACAGTCATGCTGTGTCAATCATAAAACATGGCGCGTTGAATCTCGATTCGTCCAGTGTGACCTGGTGACCGGGACCGACGCGCGCGCCTCTGTACTGTAGCCAGGTAGCTGTAGTGTAGACCAAGGTCCAGGACAGGTACTGAGCTGAGTCTGAGATGAGGTACTACTACTAAGTCTAGTACTACTACTAGTACAGTAGTAGATCTACTACTGGTACTAGACTAGAGTAAGTACATGTAGAAGTCTAGATAAGAGAGCTCGATCTACCTAACCTTGCTGGCGCATTGCATTGCGCTATAGCTATGTGACATGTCACAGTATGTGGGGAAGTCCGCTCCGGCCCCATTCGCTCATCGTTGCTGCATTCAACCACGTAAGCTGTCACCTGCTTGAAGAGGGTACTTTCCCTGCTTTGCCCAACACTAAAATGACTGCACTCGAAGTCTCAACGCGAATCAAGCCTTTTCAGCTTTTGAGTTTTGTTTGTGTTGACTTTTGTCATGCAGATCTACCAGCCGCTATTCTACTGCCTAGTCACCACGCGATGCGTCAACTACACGGCACTAATATGCATTCATCTACTACAGTGTATTCTTGAACCCCATCACTTGGCAACTTCTACTGGCTGAGTCTGTAGACAGTGGCTATACTGAGTAGTCTGGTGACTGCAGGTAACCTGGCTACTACCTGGTAGTAGAGGATGTGAGGCCGAGGGATCAACCTGTGCAGCTAACCGATGATAACATGGGTAAGGAGAACAACACAATCATTGCACATACACACACACACACACACACACACACACACACACACACACACACACACACACACACACATGCACATACACACACACACACACACACACACACACACACACACACACATGCACATACACACACGCACACACACACACACACACACACACACACACACACACACACACACACACACACACACACACACTGTGTTTTCTGGGTACGAGCATTATAAACTGATTTCATTTCTGAAAATTGAAAAACCAACCGGACTGAATGCGCCCTATGGCTATCCCTAACCGCCCGTTCCAGTACGAGTCATGTACAACTGACAAATAAATAGAGTAAGGCCCTCTTCAGACTACATACATAGAAAATCCAGTACAACTGAATCACATAAACCCAAAAAAGCAACATTTGTCCAAGCCTACATTCAGACTACATTCAGACTACATTCAGACTAGATTCAGACTACATTTCACATGCAACACAGGTAACCTTTGACCTTGTGCAATTGCTTCTTGCCTCCCCGGTTAATTTCCATCTAGCTGTTTCTAGCTAGTACCAGTTCTATCGCACTTATCAATCATCTGTATTGGCGTCACGCCATCGTGGAATAAAAGAATAATAATTGCGCAAGGGGATGTGCGAAGGCAGGGAGTCGCACAAAGTCTGTACGCGTGTATGACTGCCTGGTGAATACGATAAATGCAGGAAAGTTGCCGTGTACAAGGGTTCGCACCCTGCCCGAAAGGATTGGGCAGCTTTTTATGCTTCCCGCCAGATTCTTGTAGTTGTCTTGGAAACGCCTATGTAAATGTGACTTATAGGCTGTTAGTACCTAGTCTGAAGAGGGCCTATTAAAGTAAAGCTCGCACGTCGGCGTTGCAACCGGCTATACAATTGTGTTAAGAAACACAACCAGCTTACAACTGACAAACACAAAGGTATGCCGTAGAATCCCGCGGATAAGCCCATGGGCTTATCTGTTTCACAACTTCAACACAAGGACATTTCGGTGGGCTTATACGAGAACATGGGCTTATACGTGGTCATGGGCTTATACGCCGACACCAAAATTGTGCAATTGAAAAGTATCAAGGAAATGAGAAGTACATTGCTGAAAACCACTGTGCAAACAAAAACAACCGATGATTGTGTTGAAATGTAAAAAATTAAATTAAAAAAACGACATGTACTACGTACATGTACATGGTACATAATGGTATGACCAAGAGTCCTTAATTTATGGGCTCTTGGTATGACCTAGGCCCATGGGCTTGTACGATGAAGCTTTGTGATGTCCGAACTAACCCTCAGGGTTTATGCGCCGGCATGGGCTTATACGCGGGTGGGCTTATCCGCGGGATTCAACGGTATTGACATTAACCTCCATATGATGAAGTGCAACGTTCACATCGGAGTCAAACCGCAGACTCCGGGCTGTCCACATCCGTAGGAACACACCGCCCCGGCACGGATCAAGGTGCAGATGAGGCTCCTCCTGAAGTGGGGCCTAGTCACTGAGGGGGAGGTGGGCAGATCAGATCCATCACAAAGTGGCCAAACGGACTGAAAATCGCATTCGCTGCATCCATGTTACCCTCGCGCCGGCCAGGCTACGAGTTCCCAACTTGATAAGCTGTAGGTTTCAGCACGGTTGGGAAAATTCTCCGCTTCCAAGTAGGACTTGTTGTAGGCTTTAATTTCAATTCGCTCGGACTTGAACCCGTACCATTTGTCTCTCGGCGGTCACAGTGCTGATAATACGACAATCAAGAGCACATGATTCATCATCATAATTGTTGTGACCATGACGACCGTCTGCATGTACGTAACGGTTATGTTGTTGTTGTTGTTGTTGTTGTTGTATACTTTATTCATGGTGGGAAGGCAAAACGTGATTAATTACGACTCCCTAGCCCTGTCAGCCCCGATTTTGATTATGCTATTAATTTTATCAAGAGTAGATAAACAAGAGTGTGCAACTCCGGATCTCTCCTGCACAATCTGCAGATACCCCCGCCCACGGCGGAATTTTTTGTTGACGTCACCTTTTTTCAGAAGAACGCGCATTTCGCCGCAGAGCAGTGTGAGAGCACGTGCTGGGCACTGAGCTTGTAGTGTAAAGCTGGCCAAGACTGAAGAGCACGAGGGAAAACATTCTGAAAGACTCGCAGCACGTGCGTCGTCGAAAAGATTACGTCAACAAAAAAATCCGCCGTGGGCCTACCCATCCGCGAGTTGCACACTCTTGTTTACTGAAATTTTCGGACGGAAATATTTTCGGACAAAGCCGAATTTTGACCTTTCGTACGGATTATATTTTCGTACAGTGCTGCATGCTAAATACACGTGTTAGCATGCAGTACGCATGTATAGTGTACATAATTTCAAATGAACAAGTTTTAGTACGGAATTAATTTTAGTACAAAAGAGGCCGTGTACGAAATCGTACGAAAATAAATTCCGTCCGAAAATTTCCTGCTATACGAGTATCTACTCTTGATTTTATGGACAGCCTAGCCGTTAGCCAGGCTGCGCGCCTAGCAGTGCGCGCGGCGAGTGCGCGACTGCGCGGCGTGCGCGCTGCAGCTGTGACATCATTCATGAATCATTATTACCTAATTTCTACTTGTAAAAAAACAAACAGTTGCCATTATCATGATCATCAGATCATGCCATGCCAGGTTTGCTGCATTTTTTGGCCTTGGTCATTTTCTTCTTGACTGCATGTAATGTTGGGTGGGAACGATTCCTCCAGCAACATCCTGGTTTGGTGGTACTTCATGCACTGACAGGTACTTAGACGTCTGCCTTTACTTGTTGTAGATAAGGGTCCGGGGCAGGGCCAGCCTACGAGTGCGACCGTTCAGTCTTCTGCGTGTTTGTCCACCTGATTTACTAGGATGCGTTGGATTATAAATGTAGAATCAATTGGCCACTAGCACTACCAGATTTGTTGTCCATGTGGACGTCCGGACTACTGCATTTGTCACAGAAGAATCTGATTATTTTCAGTTCTGTCACAATCTGGTCTTGGCTTGGATGCGTCGAATAAAAGCGCTTTGTTGCGGAAAGATAGACGCACTGTGGAGATTTTTTTCCTTCCTGATGTCTGAACGATGGCATCGACTACAGCCTGTGATGATCGCGTGGCTCAAATGAGTCCTGACAGCGCCATAGGCACTCAGGATGAACTGCCGTCTTTCACCAGGCAGGAAGTTGCCAAGCATGGGAACCCTTTCTCGGATACCGGCTGTTGGGTGGTGGTCGACGACTATGTCTACGACATAACCCAGTTCATTCATGAGGTACGGACTTTCTATCCTGGATACTCTATGTCGAAGGCCAGTCTGCAGAATAATATTTCGGAATTATTTGGCAGGGATTGAGCCCTGATGGAATGCAACCGTGGCCAATGAAATCCTGAGAAGTCACTGCATATGGCTCAGCTCCAAACCCCAGGTTTTTACATGAATTGATCAGGCTAGGAATCCTGCCGAAATGCTGTGCAGTGGCATACCGGGTACAAGTACAGTAAAACTCCCCAGATCAGGACGTCCCTAATCCGGGTACGTCTGCCTACCGGGCATCTATCTGACCCATGTAGAGTCATAAAAATGGCTTTTCAACAAAACAAAAAAAGGCCACAAAAGAGTCATATTAGACATGGTTAGTATTTTACCGTTCACGCTATTTTCGACGGTCGGCCTGCACCATTTTTTTGTGTGTGTAGACATGGCATTTTACAGTTCACGCGCTAGATCCAACGGCACTCGTACCCCAAACCCAAAATACCGTCGGTTTGGTACCGTTTCAACAATAGACAGCTCTTTTTAGCGGGAGAACGAAACGGTAAGATTCCAACTAGGGTTACCTCACACGTCTATCGTTGCGTCAGGAGTCAGGACTCAGAAGCCGAACTGCTAACTGTGTCTCGAAAACACATCTAAAACAGTCGACTCGCCCTCTACACGCCGACCGTCGAAAATAGCGTGAACGGTAAAATGCTAACCATGTCTATTGATCGGCACAAAACTCTTACTTGTATGTTAAAGTATGTAAATTCTGAGTTACGGGCAATTCCTAGTTAGCAGTGCTCGGTCCCAACCTGCCTGGATCTGGGGAGTTTACCGTACGTCCAGCGTGCAGGGCATACTGGTGTGCATCCGAATCACATAATTGTGTGATGTCGATACCGCAAGTGCTGTGCTGTGATTTCACCAGCAATGACTGCTTATGTGCATGAACGTGGAAGATGAGAGATTGGGTCTTGTACCAGCCACAGGCTGAGGCTGCTAGCAATTTCTTAAAGTCGACTCTGATAAGTCGCTGAGGTTACTTGGCCAGGCCACGTGCCCTATCGCTCTTTTTGACCACGTTTTTCATTGAACAAAGCACCAAGCCGACAAATATTTGTCGGGATACAGTCAAATCTGTCGTAAGCGACCGCCCCTTGGTGCAAGAAAAAGCGGTCGCTTACGGCAGACGGTCTCTTACGGCAGATGTATGGTAAATCCGGCATACCAGGTGTATGCTTCCATGTACTCAAATCGACGAGAATAATGTGATTTTTAATATCATTTTATTGGATATTCAACGACGACCATACTCGTATAGTACGCGTATGCGACACGGCAGTAGATCGACACTGCCTGGACTTGAGAGCTACAGCACAGCCTCAGCACAGGCCAGGCGCCGTCGATCGCACTTGCAAGACAGCGCATTTTCACACTTTGCAGTTGACAGCGCACTGGCAAGTACAGTTTCGCACCTTTCTGAACCTGGGTCGCGGTCGCTTACAGCAGATTTGAATGCAGCCACCGTGCATGAAATCGCGGTCGCTGGTCGCGCACAGCAGATGGTCGCTCTGGACAGATCAGTTTGTATGTGAAACCGTCGGTGCACGGAAAATCGGTCGCTAACGGTAGATGGTCGCCTACAGCAGAGGTCGCTAACGGCAGATTTGACTGTATTTATGGCAACGGCACTACCGTGATTAATCCAGTAGACGTGTGTTGTACAAGATGTTACTTCGCCACCCCAGCTCTCTCAGATGGCGTGCTTCGAGAGGGATTAGATGGCAGCCTTTTTTTACGGTACATTGTATATACAGTCGTCCCTCTCTAATCCGGCACTTGTTTATCCGGAACCCTTGCCAACCGGCGCACTTTCTGACGAAACCGATTTTTTTCGTTCAATTCCTACATCTTAATCCGGCACTTGAATTCCGCCTCCGGCAGTGACTTTTTGAAACGAATCGCTCAAACTGCACGTAGTTTGATTTCATAATCCGGCAGTCGTAAATCGCGTACCGTACAGGTGCACTCCTTGCCAGGCCAGGCTAGGCCAGTCTGGTCAGTGCCGCGCGCGCAGGGCCACTTCAGAGTTCAGTTCAGTTGACAACTGTACTCGACCTCGCGCGGGAGAGTTCAGTTCGGTTGGTTATTAGGACTTTTCCGAACCCTAACTCAATTTATACAAAGAGAAAGACCAAGGAACTACAAGTTACGCTATATTGTCCACTAACACCACCAGTTACTAAACAATCAGCGCATGCGATAACATTGCACGACACTGACCGACGGTACTGACGTTCTACAACTAACTACAACGTGCGACCTGCATGATGTCGACTGCTTGCGTGGCCTTCTCAAGAGGGTCAATGTTGTCCAGGAGACAACGGCTAAGCAGTCAACCATACTTTCATACGAACAGTTGAGAATATAAAGCCGTGCACCAAATACTTGGGTCGACACGGAAAAACCCTGCGTTTTGACGTATGATACATGCATGCAATTGGGCAGGGCCGGGTCAGAGGGCAGGATTTCTTAATCCAGCACCCTCGTTAATCCAGCAGAAAACGCCGTAGCAAAAGGTGCCGGATTAGAGAGGGACGACTGTACCATCACTGTGCGTTGATAACTGATACTAGTCCTTGGATCCGCGCATGTGTGCTTATAGTACTGACTGGTGCGTGGTTGCTTAATCACTGAGGCACACCGACGTAGCATTCTGGAGATATCCCAATCGTCATTTCAGTCACGGTGAAAACACCTGATTTTTTTCTCACCGACTGCCTTCCCGTTTGCACCTTTCCCTCAAACTAATGGATGACTGTCTTGAGTGAGGAATTTCTCTTTGACTGGCACGTTGATTGATCCCAATGCGCTTGGAGTGCGTGGGCGGCGTAATGAAAATGCCAGTGGAAACATTTGAATGGTTTTACGATGAGGAACCTTGAAGTGGCTGGCGGGGAGAGACTTTGTTCATTTATCCAGCTCTGGGACTAGAAGTGTTGCATGTATGACATCTACTACAGTGCTCAGTCAGAGCTTATTCTCCTCTACTCGTGGAGAGCTTTCAGAATGCCCACAACAGTGGACATTGGGGAATTAGAAGTAAAGTTATGCCCAGGATATGCACTCATTCACTGCTGCTGTTGCTGTACATGTGCGTGCGTGTGTGTGTGTGTGTGTGTGTGTGTGTGTGTGTGTGTGTCACTGTGTGTGTGTGTGTGTGTTCACATGGTTGTGCCACTTGCAGCACCCTGGTGGATTTGAGATACTGCTGGAGCATGCAGGTGAGAGAACAATGCTGTATGTTTCACGCCGTTTGATTGTTGCTATTAGTATTCCCACATGGTGCAAATTTGACTCAGTAACAATATTCGTGTTCAATTGCCGGGTGTGGGGCGTGGGAGGGGGGGGGGGGGGGGCAGTATTAATCTCACTCTGTCTGTAGAGTAGGTGAGGGTCGAGATGTCAAAGCTGAAAAGAAGAGTATACCAACATATGACTTGATGCCAGTACAGTTGACCTACCCTTATAACGATAACCTCTATAACGATAATTTTCTGCCAAACCAAATCACTCCATTGATTTGTGTATACAATGCATTACCTCTATAACAATATTGCTATAACGATATTACCTCTATAACGATATAAAATAGGCTGACCAATCGACATTTTCCATTTTATAACAATATCAAGCAGGGGGTATGTAGAGCCCACTACACGGCTGTTCACGTGCAGGCACTTATCAATATGGCGTCGTTCGGTGCGATTTATGTAACATTGTGCGAATAGTACAAATACGCGATGAGTTTGCGTTTTTGCAAGAAACTCATGTCGATCCTCGCGTGGTTCCACGATTTGGGACGGAAACCAAGAGAAAAGTTTTGAAAGCGCTCGAGCGAGATACTCGACTTTTCGGCAATTTGAGAGAGAAAGAGGGTGGAAAGGCGTCCTGGCCTGCCCAGTTAGCTGTCTTTCCGCTTCAAACTTGCTCGAAGTACTCCTGGCAGTCTGGAGATTGATCTCGCCAGTGATTGTCAGCCTCTGCTTGGCGTGCTCGCGTGTACAACATTCAAGTTAGACATTTCGTAATCGTTCAACGCACAATAGGGTAGATAGCACAATTTCAAGCTCACTTGGCCGGCTGCTGTCTTCTTCTATAATATCCCACATGCCAACTAAGCAATTTACAGCAGGAAGCAGCCTTCTACACTCAACAGCAACTAAAGGGCCACACCATTTTGTCTTCCAAATCAAGAGAAAACAGGCTCCTGACTCGTCGCGCGTATTTAGAAGTTCACGCGCGTATTCTAATGACACTTGGGGAAGACAACCAGAGGATAGTCCTCTACCTGGGAAAAAATCGATCTAAACTGGGAAAAAATCGGGAAGGGCTTCTCGGAGCCGAGTTTGTCAGCGACGACACAAGGAGTATTCCAGAACGAAGCCAAAGTCACACGACACAGAACAAATGTTTCTTGAAGGAAAGGCAGTCATGTGAGGTACGAGCGGAAAGCTTGAAACAAGACGCAGATGATCAGCGTGTTCCCCGGGCTGGCCGGGCTGACTAGTCTCCAATATCCAGGGGAAACCATGGCCTACTCGTGTTCTGACGATTCGAAAATTCAAATTTTCTTGCCATTGAAGCCCAATCGAGACTTTCGGCGGCCATATTGTTAAGTGGCGTGAAATCGCACAAAAAAACAGCCGTGACTATCCAGGTAGGGCACGTTTCACTTGATAAGTTACTGGGAAATGACGAAATGCAATGGGGGCAGCAGTTGGCACCTTGCTGTGTACATACTGTGCATGTACCTGTGTACATACTGTGGATGTACTTCAGTTTTTTATGCTACGAGGAGTGTAAAAAATGGACGAAATCCATGCATTATGACGTATGTGTATGAAATGAACCAGTTACCCCTATAACAATATTACCCTTATAACAATATTTCTTGGTCTGACGCAAATATCGTTATAAGGGTAGGTCGACTGTATTAAAGACTAGTTCTATACCATTATCATCACCCATAGAGACGTGATACGACTGAAATTTCACTCCACTGTATATTCCCTACAGGAAGGCAAGCCTTTTCCCCAGGTAGTCACATCTCTTAGAGGATGGCGTTGCTGCGCCCTTCTACCCTCCTTTGGCTAGAACTCTGCATTTTTTGCTGCCATCCCTCTGTCCATTACTTTGAAAATATAGAAGCTAATTGACTTGCTACCTCTCGCCCATTTTGTTTGTTTTTCCAGGCCGCGATGCGAGCACTGGCTTTAATTCCATTAACCACTCGAGCAAGGCAAAGCAGCGTTTGGCAACACTGCGCATAGGAAAGATAGTGAAGAGGTGAGCGAGAGAAAAATTCCTCCGAAGTGGTGTGCTCCCCTACGGTGTGGCCGACTTTGTGAACTACTTGCTTTTAATAGATCTTTCTTGTATCTCTGGACTTGATATGGGGCAGTGGTATTGCCTTTTTCCTGTTCCCTCCCCCCCCCCCCCCCCCCTGGATTATATCCCCCATTCACTATCACCAAGACCTTCTCATGCCACTGGTGTTAGCACATTAATTAGTACAAACAGTTCTAGTCTAGCTGAACATGTTCTAGCTGGATAGGGTTCCATTCATACGACATAGGCCTCGCTAGCAGCAACCGTTAGTAGATTTCGTATTGAGTTAGTTTTTATTATTATAAATCTTTAGTCTTTATCACTGATTCTGTTCCAGATAGTGGTACTTGAAGTATGTAGCAGATTATCTAGCCGGTTTTGTTATGTAGACTGCTAACATTATAGTGGCCCCGCTATTGGTTCGTCTGGGTGTTGAACTAGATCCTTTTTTTCGGCCCATTCCCACCGAGCAACTGGTATCCCTCTCAGAAAAATGGCAAGTACTGTACGTATACTGGAATTAAAAAATCGTGTTGAATGGTTAAATGGCTTCCACATTTTTCTCATAAAGCGTCTACTTGTAAGAAAATCTCCATCTTATTTGAATTTTTCAATGGTTGATCACATGGCACAATTTTGAACTTTTAACAATTTTCTTTAACATTTTTCGTATTCCACATGATGCTGGTAATAATAGCGTTACCATCGAATATGGGGTAGTCTTTTTGAATACATTTTCTAGGAGTGCGAGTGTGTTCCTGGTGGAGGAGTCATAAGTAAGTTCCCAAAGAACCAAACACAAAGATTCTGCAACAATTTGATTGAATACTCACAAGAGTTCACCGCTCAAGAGTGCTCAACTCTGATCTGAGAGCACTGTGCTGGCTTACGTACAAGTAGTGGAATGACAATCAAGGTGACTGCATTTTGAGATTTCCTACAGTTTAGGACCAACGATTTCACGCAGAATATGGAAGGTTCGACGAAAAAATGCCTGTGCACAATGCATCACATGGCTCATGGGCAGCATGAAAGCGCACCGGTACTTAGTATTCGAGGTACATCTTATCCCAGTATACTAAAGTATGGATCGCTACACCTGTGCTCCGGACAATGTTCGTATCAAGCCAAAGTGTGTCTTTTCACAGTACGTACTAAGTGAGTTCCGCTGTACTTCGGATGTACAGTATTACTGCAGCCCTTCCAGCCTTCCAGGGCACAACACCAGTGTAGGAACTAGGAAGGTGTTTAGTTGTGCCCACATATATATCTTCATTTAATTTGGGTAAAGCCTGCTGTACAATCAACAGCCATTAACATGCACTGGACAGTTTCACTGTGACTGGGCTCTTTCTGTGTGTCCCTTCCCAGCAGGCCCTGTAGTGTAGAGCCACTGTAATCATTGCAGCAGTGGCTCACTGCTTGGCTGGACTTACTCCCACATCTTATTCTCACCAGGAACACTCCGCAGGATGATCTTTTGGTTGTTAATTTGTTTCTAATGCATTCTGTCTCTGATAAAATAGTCGTAAAGGCTTTGTATGATGCCGATGGGAAATATCTCAAGCATGAACAGACGCAGCAAAATGTGCGATCCTTTTTTTATGAAATACAAAGTGGAACATTGTCTCAAGGCAGGTGGTGGTGTCGAGGGCAAGCTATATTGATAAGTAGATGATATAATTGCTCAAGGGAATTCATAATCATTAAAAAGTTCTTGCTGAAGGATATTTAAAAAAAAAAAACTTTGTTGGAGTGATAACCGAAGTCACATAGCACATCCATTCTTGTTCTCGTGGAAGATGAGGTGGGCCTTCGGTCCATTTGCCACGGTAACCAGCACGAGTGCGTTGTCGCGCATCTCCGCCGGCAGCAGGTCCCAGTAGGCGTGCTGCACGAGTGCAGCGACACGCGGCGACGCCGCCCAGACGTGAAGCAGCGCCTTGCTCCAGTGTCCGCACAGGCAGTTACGTGCCGCTCGCCGCAGGCCCAGCAGCTTCTTGACCAGCAGACGCTCTGCATCATCGACCGTGTACTGACCCTGGAACTTCATGGCTCTGGTTACGCTCACGCCGACTGTGCAGTTCTGCACAAAACAGGTGTAGTCCACGATTGAGCCGCCTTCTGGGAAGTAAGTCACCTCCATTTCAGTGCGATCCAACTCGGCGTTAGCGTATCTCTTGAGCAGCTCGTAGCTCAGCACCTCACTGATGACTGAGCTGCCGCCCGCGTTCGGCGTGCTGCGCATTCGCTCGGCAGCAGCACAAAGCCGCATGGTCTCCACATTGCGAAAAGCGTCAAACTCGGCCTCCATCAGATCGGCAATTGGAGCATCTCGCTGCAGCTGGTCAATCAGGCGACCGTGGAATAGCGCCGGACACCTCAGTGCGAAGTTCTCGTTGATAAACACATTGCAAGCCGGCAGAAAGAACATGGCCTGCTCGTTGACTCGATTATCACCTCCATCGCGCTGGTCAGCAACGCGCCCGTTGTTTCCGCCTGTCCCTATGCATTCCACCATTTTGGAGGGATTGTCGCGGGGACGACTGGGGGGAGATGCTTGTAGACCGAGGAATCATCTTCCACACTATTATTGAGACGGTGGGACTCTGGAGAAACTGAGAGAGCGAGCAAGGTTTTATACTTGTGCTATCAACCTGGAACCCTGAACCCGAGCTAGCGCGCTCGGGAGAAAGAAGATTGCATCATTTGACGGAAACATCAAAATGCGCTCATACAAACTCTGTCCATGATCCAGCCTATCTCAGCCTATCAGCCTAGCCTGTCTTCGGTCTTCGCAGATCGACGCTGTCGTTATCGTCTATCGACTTGCGCGACTCGTACTCCGAGTCTCCGGCTCCGTCTCTCCGACTCGACGTCGACGACTCGACGCGCGTCTCCCAATGACGTCGTTGCCCTTTGAAATGACGTAAGTAGCTGCTCCCAGTCCCTCTCCCATGCCCAGCTAGCTACACTTTTTTGTAGTGTAGGCTAGCTCAGGCCAGCTGACTCTGAGCTGAGCTAGTTTTGCTGTGTAGCTAGCTAGCGCTAGACTACGCCGCTAGTACAGTAGCATGCATAGTTTAGCTTTCGTTGCGTGGGTGACCATGATTCATGGTCATGTACTGAGTCTCAGTACAGAGTACAGATCGTTTGGCAATGGGTAGAGTCAAGACTGACTAGTCTAGACTAGAATAATAATAAATTTTAAGAGTCGAGTCTGGGACTCTGGGTCTCTGGGGTCTTCCCCTTGTTTGCCATTATTTTGCCAGCTGTCAGTGCTCTCTGATTATGAATTGGTGTACAGAAATCACTGGTGCACGTGGTCCGATCATGATTCATGATCCAAGTGGACAACACATGTGTACACGTACATGTACATGTACACTTGACCAAGCAATACTGCAATTGACCCCGCCTTGAACGCGCGCCTTCCCCATTACGGTGTAAGAAAGCAGGTAACTAACTTACCGTGTAAGAACACAGCTGCTTCCAACGACTACAAAAATTTAATTTAGTGATAAACTGGAAAACAGTCAAAGATGTCATGACTGCAGTTGGGCTGTTCAACTGGGCTTGTTTTCAGTCACGGAAATGTTTGTACAATACACAACACCATGTACACGTATGAAGTACATGTACATGTATAATTATGTAGCTACATGTACATGAAGTGATTTTCAATTTAAAAAAATATTAGGCCAAACTAAAGAAGGTGTACCGGTGTGTGGTTCGACTCACCCGACCGACCGTACAATTTCAGCCCGACCGTAACTTTTTTTCGGCGGGCTGTCGTGTGACTGACGTACGTGGACTGAACACGTCCACGTCTACGTGCTGTGCGGCGTGAGTCTGCGGACGCAGGCGGCTCCTTTTGGACTTGACTTGTAGTTGTACTGCAGACTGCAGTGCAGTGCAGTGAGTGGTACGACTGCTGCCTTGTGCTGGTAGTAGAGTCTACTCGATACGCGTATATAGTACGGGGGCCAGGCATCCAAAAAGTGGCTGAAAAAAACTTTCGTTTCCACTTCGTCCGCACAACAATTTGACTGCAGATAATGAAAGCAGTGGCCTTCCTGACACGGAATCCACGAAAAATTGCTTCAAAATGCGAATGGAAGGCCTCCATCGAGTTACTTTTCTCGCACCTGTTCAGCCATTGCCGCTTGTAGCTTGCGCTGAGTTTCTTCTCCGCGCGAGCAGTCACCAGTGGTCACGCAACGGTAAGTTTTCCTCACGGGACTGTCCCGTCCATTGTACGGCGAACTGAGCATAGTCTGCGCTGCGCGAAACACGCGTACAGAGTCTAGTCTCGCACCTCACGTGCTCAGCGCGGTCCACGTGGAGTGTCAAGTTTCAAAAGTGAACTCGGATGTGTCGATTCACGTACTACTACTGCGCTTCTTCTCCGTTTTTGCCCTTTTGTACTCTCACGCATACTAGTAAGTAGTTTGTTTTCGGGTGGTGAGGTTCTGGAAAGTCGATGTCACAGGCAGACTGTCCCCAGCGGACAACTCGGCAAAGTCTATCTGTACCAGTTGTAGAGCCAGGGCGAAAGGAGTGCATATTCTGTCAGAAATTTCAGCTGGGAAAGAAGCACAAGTATCAGAAAACTTCGCAGTGCCAGTCACACAACGCTGCCCAGAAAGTGCTAGACGCAGCTAAGTTGCGGAAAGACGAGGCTATTGTAATAGCTATTGGTTCTCTGTCTTGCCTCATAGCACGTGAAGTTCACTACCATCGGCACTGCTTCCGAGAGTACACAAGACTATTGGAGGTCGAGGATCCTGGTGACGACCCTCAGGGAATTGGTGGACAGGCTCCTTCGGAGGAACAAGTAGTTGCCCAGTTTCTTGAGGTCGTGCGTCAAGAATTGTTTGACAATTCTGCACTGCTGACCTCTTCTGATCTCCAGTCCATCTTCCAGACCTGCTGTAACAAGGAAAGTGGCAACTTCTGCACTCAGGTCAGAAATCGAAAACTGAAGAGCATCATTTTGAAAGAGTTTGATGGCGTTGTTAGGTTTGTCAGGCCAGCTCGCTGCAACGCCCCTGAATTGTTGTATGCTGTTAGCTCGACTGACAACTTGATCAGACAGTTTGCACTGCTGAAGGAGGAAGTTGCAGAAGATGAACCCCTAGTGCCCGCCGACCCTTATTGCAGTGAGTCTGGGGATGAGTCTGAGGATGAGTCTGCCAAAGTGGAGAGTAGGCATGTCTGGACCAATGAGTGTGAGGAATGGAGAGTCTTATATCATGCAGCAAACATCCTCCGCCAATCCATCGAGCACCATGTCAAGTCCACCAAGCAAGACCTGAGCGGTGCACAGCTGTCTCCTGCGGATAGCGCGCGATTGATTCCTCACAAGCTCTTTAATTTTCTTGCATGGACCCTGGACAAGGATGCCGAATTCTCGACGTGCCGCTTGCCGTCTCTTGAGAGTGTTCTGCAACGCCGCATCCATGCCATCTGCCAGGATCTTATGTTTTGCGGCACTGGTTACCGCACTCCGAAACACATTGTGCTGGGCATGGCAATCCATCACCTGTGCCGCAGTAAGCAGATAGTTACCATGTTGAATCGTCTCGGCTATTGCTGTAGCTACAGCCAGGTACTGGAGCTGGAGACTTGCTTGGCAGAGGCTTTTACACGCCATCAGCACGATCAGTCTTTCTTGCCTGCCGCCATCGACACTCGCAAGCCGTACCATTTCGTGTGGGATAACAATGACCTTTGCGAGGAAACACTGAGCGGACTTGCGACTACGCACTGTACAAATGGTATCGTTGTACAGCCTTCTCTGCAGGATGAATCGGTAGCAAGTGAAGCGACTTCCATCTCTCTGCCTACGCTGTCAACGTCGAAGCGAAAGCGCTCATTGGCAATGGTCCCGGAGATTCAGCCTGTGTTTGCAATGCCTGCAAGACAAAATCCACCTCCCACCAGCCTGCCTGAATCATCATACGCCTATGCTGCTGACACCCGCTCTGGTGCTGCATTGATGGACTTTGTCTGGAAGCTCTCCCGGTTCTGCCCAGATGGACAGATCAGCAAGCCTCGTGCAGTCATTGAGATTGGAGCTGCGGCTGATGGCAAGTCTCAGAGCATACCCGCGTGGACAGCATTCAATTCTCTCGCGACGAAGAACAATGTGCCTTCTAAGTCGGAGATTGGTTACTGTCCGGTGATCAATGCATCGCCAACGGAGAACCTCACTGTCTATACCCTACTATGCCGCTCCATTACTATGGCAAGGCAGGCTGATCTTCCATTCACGATGGTAGTTCTGGATCAAGCAATTTATGCCAAGGCTGTCGACATCGTGTTGCAGAGACCCCAAGAATTCCGCTCTGTGGTTCTCCGAATGGGCAGCTTCCACATCACCATGACGCTCCTGGCTATTATCGGAAAGCGCTTCACGGATGCTGGCCTGCTAGACCTCCTCGTCGAAGCACAAGTGTCCGGCTCTGCGACTGCTTCCTTGGCATTGGCAGGGAAGCACTACAACCGTGGTGTTCGGTTCCATAAGTGCGTTGCAGAAGCCATGGAGCGCCTTCGATGGCGCTCATTTATCGATTCGACCGCAGATGCTGACTTGGCCAAAGTCATGTCACAGAACGTTGTGGACGGCATCGTGGAGTTGCGGAACCACATCTCAGACGACAACGTTAGCCGGCTAGTGGATTCTTCTGAAGTGAAGACCCTGCACAAGATGTATGCAGAGTTTTGCTCGCAGCAATCCGACGCATCTCCTATGTTCAAATACTGGTCCAGCTATCTCTCTATGGTGTCGCTATTGCTGGATTTCATCCGCTCAGTACGCACTGCCAATTGGCAATTGCACATGTCTTGTATCAGGGCCATACTTCCCTGGTGCTTCGCCTACGACCGGCACAATTATTCCCGTTTCATGGCCTACTACTGGCTGAAAATGCTGAAGCTACCAGAAACCCATCCTGATGCTGCAAAGTACCTGGAAGATGGTGGATTTGCTGTCCAACGTGGGAACAATGCCTTTGCGCAGGTGGCCTCGGATATGGCAATTGAGCAAACGATCAACCGGTCCTCGAAGACCACTGGTGGCATTATTGGCATCAGCAGATCACCATCGGCAGTTCAGCGTTGGATTGTCACGTCACACGACCGTGCGCGCATCTCGGATGTCTGTATGGAGCACTGCGGGTTAGATGAGAGCACCCAGCAAGGTGAAGCTCTTCACACAGAATGCCAACAGACGCGAATGGCCAGAGATGAAGCAGACGTTCAGCAAATCGAGTCAACTGTTTGTGGCTGGGTGAATCCCTTCTCCACCACACCAGCAGGAAGCAGTGAGGACCTGGTGGGGCTTTCATCAGGCCTTTCGTGCTCAAACGATGCAAAGCAGGATCTATTTGAGGCTGAAGTGCGTGGCGAGGCAGCCTTCCGCAACTTCGTTGAAGAAAGGCTTGTGCTGCAGAACAAGAAGTTCCTTGACCCCCTGCCAAAGCTGAAGTTGAAGACCTTTGCCATACAAAAGCAGAAGGCGTCAAGTCAAAGCAAATCGATTCCGGTCCTGCGTGCTGACTGTGCCCTCTTCAGTAAGATGGCTGTAATAGCCCAGAGCCGGCATATGGATGTACGACAAGTTCTGTCCTACCCACTTGGCTCAGCTCCACTGTCTCTGTGTACGCCAGATGGCACTTTGGCGAAGACGAACAAGTCCGCCCTGCTTCAGTTACTTGAGAAGGTGTCTCCGTC